TGACCTTTGAAAGAAGAGCAATCTACTGGCCTTGCTTCCAGACTCATGGTCCTCACTCATCATCAACCTAAATCGAGATCTGCCCCACCTCTCCCTCGAAGATGTGAAGAGGGAAATATAACAAGAAGATTTCCGCCGTCGCAAATTGGCGGGTCCCGATGGTGCCGGAGTGGCACGCATGGGCTGTGGGCATGGCCGTGGAAGGGGCAGAGGGTGAGGAGGCAGATTTGGCAACAGTAACTTCAATGGAGGCCGTGGTAATGAAGGAGATGGCAGCAACAACAACAATAAGGCCTATGGGCATGGGGGCGGTCGATTTGATGGCGAATGTCACTTTTGCCACAAGACCGGCCACATGTGGAGAGATTGCTTCAGATTATCTGATGGATGGACCCCTTCTCAAGTCCAAGAGGGCAGAGGAGCAAGAGGAGGAAGAGGAGGCAGAGGTCGTGGAGGCCGTGGTGGTTGTGGAAGCGAAGCGGCAAGCATGAAAGGTGGAGACTACGAGACGGACCCGAGTGAAGATCGATACTTGGGCCAAGTCTTCTTTGTCTCCACGCAAGCGGCAGCTGGATTAGGAGGTGTGGAAGGCTTTGAGAAGCCAGCTACTGTGGGAAAGTTCACCCTTCACTCTCTGGACTTTTGGGTGATCGATAGCGGCGCCACCTATAGCATGATACCTCGTGCGGAATTGCTCACTGAACTCGAACCGTCGCCGGTCAAGCATGTTACATCGGCTTTGGGGTAGCGAGCAGAGGTGAAAGGCATGGGCAAGGCCATGCTCAAGGGTAATTATGGGGCCTCAAGAACATGCTTTGGGTGCCCAACCTTGCCGGCACCCTGATTTCCGTGCGGCGTTTGCAACAGGCTAACATGGATACTCTTTCCAAGGGATCCAAGACTTATACGGCGAGGCTTGGTGAGCGGAAGCTTTGGGACTTTCATGAGTACAGGGACATCTAAAATGAGATGTGGCAAATCCCAGTGGTCCCCATGCCTAAGGAGATGCAAGTGGCAGCAAGCGTCAGCACCAAAACTGAAGCGGTTGGTGGCGGTGATCACGGAAAGCAAAGTGACACCAAGAGTGGCTCGAAGGAGTGCAATCTTGGAGGGACCAGCAAGGCGTGTGAACCCAAGGAGAGTGGTGCAGTAGCCAAAGATAGTGGAAATGAGGAGGAGAAGGCTAATATTAGCAAAGCAACAGCGGCGAAGGAGAAAGGAGAGAGCTTGTGGGGCACAATTGCGAGTGCCACTTTCTCCAACCCGACTTCCTCTACGGGAGAGCGTGATTGGCTGACCTTGCATCAGCGAATGGGGCATATGGCATTGCCCATTTTGCAGCAGATAGTTAAGCAAGAGATGGTCGGTGGGATACCTGTCAAGAGGGAGCCCAATGAGGCGCTTGGCTGTCCGACATGCATGCATGCTAAGTTCACCCGCAGCCCGATCCATAGCTCGGAGACAACGGCGAAGGCACCACTTGATGTGGTGGTGATGGATGTGGTGGGCCCCTTGAAGCTTGGAGCTGCTGGAGCAGAGTACTCCCTCACCATTGTGGATGTCTACACTTGCATGAATTTGGTGTATGTGGTGCCCAAGAAGAGTGATGTAGCTGAGACGGTGAAGACCGATTGGTTGCCGATGGTGGAGCGGCAACAAGACCGGCTTGTGAAGGCGTTTCGCACTGACCGTGGGGGAGAGTTCCTAAGCAAAGACTTCTCAACTTGGCTGAAGAAGCAGGGCATAAGGCACTCTCTTACCCTGCCCTACTCTCCTGCTATGAACGGCATCGCCGAGCGTGCGAATCGAACACTCACAGAGGCGGCTTGGGGACTTCTCATTGAAGCCGGTCTACCCAATTCCTTTTGGCCGGATGCGGTGCGGCATGCGTGTGTGACCAAGAATAGAGCCTTGAGTCATGTGGGAGAAGATAAAGGGGTGCCCTATGTAGAGTGGATTGGAAGGAAGCCGAAGGTGGATATGCTTCGGGTGTTCGGGTGCATGTGCATGGTATTTGTGCCTAAGTAACTTCGGCAGAACAAGCTTGATGCCAAGGTAACATGGGCCGTGCACCTGGGCATGGCTCAAAACAGCAAGGGATGGCTTCTTTGGGACCAATTTCCCAAGAAGTTCTTGGTGAACAGAGATTGTAAGTTCATGGAAAACTTACCATACAAGGAGTGGAAGGTGGAGAACCAAGCGAAGATTGGTGTGCGGCTTGGAGAGGTGAAGAGTACCTGCGTGGAACATGTGGAGCTGCCCTTTGAGCTGAGTATTAGCAGCACAATCACACGGCAATCTCCTCAAATGAATGGGGAAGAAGAGGAGGAGGAGGTGCAGCAAGGTGATGAGCGTGCACCGTCACTTCCGCCTCGTGCTACAAGTGCTCGCGAGAACCGACAAGATTTGCAGCAACGCCATGAGAGCATTCAAGTCCCTACAGTAGAGGAAGAAGGAAGGGGGAGAAGGAAGACTCAGCCCCCACTAGGTTGAGCTATGACTGGCTAGGAAGACCAGCCAACTCAACCTTGACTGGTTCGGCTCTCATGCTAGGCGATGATGTGGAAGATGAAAACGAGGAGTGCGCTTTTGCCTTCTTCTCTCCGGTGGAGATACTGGGGGAGCCTACAAATCCCAAGGAGGCTTGGGAGGGCCCCAATGGGAAGGAGTGGAAGAATGCCTCAGATAAAGAAATGGGGAGCATCATAAAGAACGACACATTTGACTTGGTGAACCTAGCTCCGGGGCATAAGGCGATCTCTTCCAAGTGGCTCTTCAAGCGCAAGACCGACGCCGACGGCAACATTGAGCACCACAAGAGCAGACTTGTAGCCAAGGGGTACCAGCAGCAGGAGAAGGAGGAATACAATGAAGTATATGGTCTTGTGGTGAAGGGTAAAATCCTTGAACTCTCTTCGCCGCGGCGGCCATGAAAGGATGGGTGGTGAAGCAAATGGATATAGTAACGGCCTTCCTTAACGGAGTTTTGGAGGAAGAGACTTTCATGGAGCAGCCAGAGGGGTATAATGATGGGATGGCATAGTGTAGAAGCTGAAGAAAGCACTCTATGGCCTCAAGCAAGCCCCTAGGCAATGGTACATCAAGCTATGAAAAGTCTTGGAGGCGATCGGCTTCACTCCCTCAACGCCCGATCAATCCTTGTTCATGCTTGGCGGGGGGGGGCAGAGGAGCTTCATGGTGGTTTATGTGGATGACATCCTCATATTATCACCCTCCTCTGACCTTGTAAAGGAGGTGACGCTGAAGCTTCAAGACAAGTTCAAGTGCAAGACCCTTGGTGACGTCAACTACTACCTCGGGCTTCACATTGAGCGAGATGTGGAGAAGCGGTGGATGCGAGTGCATCAAAAGAAGTACTCGGTGGCCTTGGCTGCAAACTTTGGGAAGAGTGAAGGTCATGTGGCAGCTACTCTACACTCGGGGTTTAAGTGTGTGAAGGGACCAGCGGAGGAAAGTGTTGGTGAAGAGGAGAGGCGCCGTTTTCACTCCTTGGTGGGCAGCCTCATGTATGCAGCCGTTCACACAAGGCCGTATGCAGCCTTTGCTACTGGGCAGTTGGCTAGGGTTGTCCAATGCCCTAATGACGAGCAGGTATCAGCTAGAGAGAGAGTGGCCAAGTACATTGGCCAAATAACAACTGCTGGACTGCAATACTCTGCGGCGGCACAAATGTGTCAAAAGGGTGCGGATGGATAGGCTCTTTCTCACTGCCTTCACTGATGCATCTTGGGCATCAGAACCGTAGGATATGATAAGTGTGGGAGGATTCATCTGCTTTGTTGGTGCAGGCCCAACAACTTGAGAGAGCAAGAAACAAGTGGACCAAGCAGTGAGCTCAGTGGAGTCCGAGTACATGACACTCTTCCGTGCCATAAGGGAGGTTGTGTGGCAGCAGCGTTTGCTAGCTGAATCGGGGGAGGAGCAGCAAGGACCTACCTCACTCTATTGTGATAGTCAAGGTGCTATTGCATTGGCTAAGAACCCGGTTCTTCATGGCCTTAGGTGAAGTGGCATTGGGTGAGGAGCATTGTAACCGCGGGTGAAGTGGAGTTGCACTACGTGAAGATGACGGGCGCAGCCAGCTGATATGATGACCAAGAGGCTGGTTGAGCAGCAACATTGGAAGTGCTGCAAGCTTGCTGGAATGGCTCTGAACCAAGGGGAGCAGATTCTAAGGCCAACAATCCGAGGGGAGTTTGTTGGTGCAGCCCTATGGCTTGCACTCGGTTTGTCGTCCTTGTTTGTGTGTGTGCATGCATGGCATGGAATGACTTGTGAGTCTATGTCATTACTATCTAGTGCTTGTGTGTGTGCTTGATTGGTGTATCACAATGTGGTTTGTGTCGGTAAAGACATTAGCGAGTTTTTACAACTCGCATGTCAAGTCGTCGTTTGCGCGTCGCATGTGTTTTTCTATTTTGTCGAGTGTGAAGTGTCCATTGCATCGCAGGGGAGTGCAGCAAGCCCTCATCAACTCAAGAAGAATTTATCTTGCAGAACCAAGACCAAGAGCTCAAGATTTCAAGCCCAAGAGATGCAGATAAATATGAAAATAGTGAAAATAGTAATGCTACTTCGTGTAGTGTTACATTTCACATGGTGTAGCCCGTTGTTGGGTTGGTTTCTGTCACAGGATCGAATGTGTCGAGGAAAGGTTGCACTATCGATCAGTACAAGGCGCTTTTATACTTCCAGAGTACATCAGGTAACCAAGTTTATCTTATCCTAAGGGAATAGACCCTTCTAGAAGATAGAATCACCCTGCGTATAGCCACGCGAGGCTATTGGCTTTAAGGGATTACAGCAGGATTACGCTAGATAGCGTGTCTAGAACATTCCATGCCTGGTCGGTGATATAATAATAATAAAGGAAGAAAACCAAAGGATAATGGAAAATGGGGAATATGAGGCAAAAGGAGGTGAGATAAAAAGAGGAATGAAATGAAGATGAAATATGGAAAAGGCCAAGTGGTGTAACGGAGTCGTACTCTCACACTTCCCCCCCTCAAAGCTGGGTGGTAGAAGTAACACCCTGCTTGACAAGGTAGTCATGCAGAGGACGACGGGCGTTACCCATGTCGGACTCAGAGACCCAGCTGGCCTCAGAAGGATCATAACCCTTCCAACGGATGAGAAGCTCCACGGTGCCATTCCGACGACGACGATGTGCAAGCACGGACTCGACCTCGTACTCGGGTTCGTTCTGGACGAGGACGGGCGGCGGCGGCGGCGGCTGGCATCCGACGAAAATTGTGTTCGGGTCCCGATAGGGCTTCAGAAGTTGGACGTGGAAGGCGTTGTGAATCTTCCAGGTAGCTGGCAGGTGTAAGCGGAAGGTAACAGGAGTGACCTGTGCTTCAACGAGAAAAGGCCCGCAGAAGCGAGGTCGCAGTTTAGATGGGAGATGGCTGATGTCCAGGTTGCGGGTGTCAAGGAGAACCTGGTCTCCCACGGAAATGGTGTGGTCGTTGCGATGGCGATCGGCCTGGCGCTTCTGTTGCTGTTGAATGTCAAGGAGGCGCTTATGGGTCCGATCCCAAAGTTGATGCACGGTTGTAATGAAATCATGTGCGGGTTGGACTGTAGGTGATGCTGTCGGTTTTTGTGGTGTGAGTGGGTGGCGTCCGTAGCAGAGGAAGAACGGCGTCTGTCCAGTAGCGGCATGTGTGGCATTGTTGTAAGCAAACTCGAGTACGGGCAGGTGCAAGTCCCATTTGGAGATGTCATCCTTGCAGGCTGCTCGGAGGAGTTGCTCAACAATTTGGTTGAGGCGCTCGGTCTGTCCGTCTGTCTGCGGATGGTATGCGGATGACATGGCGAGTTTGGTGCCGAGCAGAGACATAAGTTCCTTCCAGAACTTGCTAGTGAACTTGGGGTCTCGGTCAGAGATGAGTGTAGTTGGGATGCCATGCTGTGAGATGATGTGACGAACGAAGAGCTGTGCTGTCTCCTCGGTGCGTGCCGTCGTATGTGTCGGGATGAAGTGTCCCATTTTGGAGAACTTGTCAATGACGACAAGGATGGCGTCATGACCGCTGGAGGTAGGTGGTAATCCGGTAATGAAGTCCAGGCTAACCACTTGCCATGGTTATTCTGGGACAGGAAGAGGCTGCAGTAGCCCCGCCTTTTTCTGCTTGCTGCTCTTCATCCGCTGACATGTATCACACGAGGTGACGAATTTCTGGACGTCGTCTGCCATATGGGGCCAGTAGTAGTGTTTGGCGATACCGGTGAGCGTCTTGTTGCTACCGAAGTGTCCGGCGTACAGGACGTCGTGGTATTCTTCGAGTAGTAACTGGCGCAAAGGAGGGTAATTGGGTACCCAGATTTTTGTGGATCCCTTCCGGTACCCGATGGCACTGTCCCACTGTAGCAGATGTCGCTTTTCTGCCAAGGGAATTTCGGGGTCGATGGCGTACCCGTGGGTGAAGAGTCCCTTGAGTAGTGGATTCATCCCTTCGACCTGAATCGCGGCAACGTGTGCAGGCCGGCTGAGAGCGTCTGCTTTGTTCTTGTGGCCGGGCTTGTACACGATGTCGTAGTGGAAGTGTGTCTCGAGGAAGTCGATCCACCGGACCTGCCGCCTGGAAAGGTTGGGTTGTGTCTTCAAATATTTCAGGCTGCAGTGGTCGGTGTAGACGGTCGTTCTTCGTCCTTCGAGATAGCATCTCCACGCTTTGAAGGCGATGACGATAGCAAGAGCCTCTTTGTCGTGTATCGGGTAGTTGAGTTCTGCCCCGTGCAGTTTCTTGCTGAGGTAGGCAATTGGTTGCAGTCCATTCCCCTGGTCTTGCATTAAGACTGCTCCCACTGCCTGGTCGCTGGCGTCAGCTTCGATTACGTAGTCGCGTTTGGGATCTGGCAAGATGAGCACCGGTGCGGACGTTAGTGCTTGTTTCAGCTGCTCCACGGCTTCCTGGTGCTTCGTCTCCCATTTGTAGGGCGTGTTCTTCTTCAGCAGATTCGTGAGTGGTGCCGCGAGTTTCGCATACTGTGGCACGAACCTGTTGTAGTAATTAGCGAAGCCTAGGAACTGCTGCAACTCCTTCACGTTCTCGGGTGTCTTCCACGTACGTACGGCTTCGACTTTCTTGGGGTAGACGTGAACTCCTTGAGCGCTCACCAAGTGGCCTAGAAATTGGACCTTCTCCAGGGCGAATTCGCTCTTGGACAGTTTGACGTAAAATCGTTCTCGTCGAAGAATTTCGAAGACGCGTCGCAGGTGTTCGACGTGCTGCTTCATGTCGCGCGAGTAGATGAGTATGTCGTCCAGGTACACCACCACGCATTCGTCCAGAAGTGGTCGTAGAATGTGGTTCATTTCGGCTTGGAACGTTGCCGGCGCGTTGGTGAGTCCGAACGGCATGACCAAATACTCGTACGATCCGTACCGAGTTCGAAAAGTAGTTTTGTGGATAGAGTTGTCCGCCATCCGTATCTGCCAGTATCCGGACCGCAGATCCAGTTTGGAAAATACCGTAGCTCCCCGAAGCTGGTCAAGCAGGTCATCGATTCGCGGTATCGGATATTTATTCTTGATGGTCTGCTTGTTAAGAGCTCGGTAGTCGATGCACATGCGCAGGCTTCCGTCCGGTTTCGGTGTGAAGAGTACTGGGGCGCCGTATGGCGAAGTAGATGGTCGGATGAGTCCTTTGGCTAGGAGATACTCGATCTGCTTCTTCATGTCGGTCAGCTCCGTAGGGCTGAGCCGGTATGGTGCTCGGAAGGTCGGCTTCGAACCCGGTTCCTCCACGATCTCGTGTTGATGCGTTCGGTATGGCGGTAGCTCGTTCGGAAGATCGTCAGGAAGAATGTCTTGGAACTCCTTCAGTAATTCCTTGATTTTTTCTGGAGTTTCCGAGGCTTTCTCTCCGTCATTCTCCACCTCTGTTGCTATCGCCAGGAACCCGGTGTCGGTCCGCTTCACATCCTTCTCGAATCGTGCGAGTGTCTCTACTGGGATATCTCCTGTATCGTCCCAGTTGGGTAGTTGTACTCTCCGTCCATTGTTGTAGATGCTTGCGGTGCGGTTCACCCAGTTGATCTCGGGGTTGAATTTTTTCAGGAAGTCTCGCCCGAAGATCAAGTCAAGCCCTTTGATGTTGGTGATGGGGAGTGCAGGTCTCCAGCGCAGTGGTCCGATTTGTAGATGTAGCACTGCTTCGCCGTGTACTGGTAACTTGCTGCCGTCCACCATCGTTGCAGAGAATCCTGAAGGCTTGTACTCTTCCCGGAGTCGGTCGATCATTGCCTTGTCGCAGACGGTGTGTGACGCTCCGCTGTCCACGAGTGCTTGGAGGCGTCGTCCTTTGCAGATGACCTCGAGCACGAGGGGCAGTCGTTGCTCGGAGTACCCAAAGATAGTTTCATTGATTGGGTCATAGGGTACATCCCAATATTCCGTACACACCTTGGTGTTGTTGTCTACTCCTGAGCTGGCAGCTGGCCGAGGCTGCTTGGAGAACGGCTCTTCTCCAGGGCCCGGAGTTTCCTTGACGACTGTGCGCGTCATTGATGCCGAAGAACTGGATGCATCCGTAGAAGGAGTTCGGGGTTTGTGCAGCTTCTTGTAGACCCCCAGCTTCCTCTTGAGCTGCTTCAGCTCCACCGACGTCTTCCCTGGGGAGCGGGTAGTCGTTGTGGGCTGGTGTCGGGAGAGGACGTTGACTCCGTGGAAAGGTCGGCTTCTTTCCACACTCCTTAATTTGGTCCCCAAGTTGTCCGGTACCGGTATAATCTCCACAGCTGTCTGCTTCTTTTGGAGTCCCTCCCGAATTTTCTCCAAGGCTCTAGCCCCTCGAACATCATAAGTTTTCATTAAAGCATCTTTATAAGATAACTTTAACGAATTCTTATAATTTCTTGGGTCTTCAAGGAGTTTCCCTGTCTCGGCAGAGTCTTTTTTCGCGGAGTCGTATTTTTCCTCGGCGATTTTCCCTGGCGAAGACTGGTCGTGGGGTGGAGATTTTCCCCCATCATTTCCTCCTTCTCGCGTCGAATCAGCTTCGTCGAAGTTGATTTTTTCGGAATCCCGCGGCCGTTTCCGGATCTTTTTATTTTCGCCAGCTAGATCCGCAATCACTGGCGACTCCCGTTTTTTGTCTTCTGATTGGCCGGAAGATTTCCGCCACTGTTGCGTGCCCGATACTCTGCGCGTGCGGCCTTCATTTTGTTGCAGTCGAAGATTCGGTGGCCCGGCACCCCGCAAAAATCACACGTGTAGTTGGTGTTTTTCGGACGTGGCCGCCCCTCGAATCTGTCGACTTCCATCGGGTCGGCGAACGTGGTGTGAGCCGAGCGGTCGCCCTGTCGCGTACTGCCGACGTGCGTCCGTCGTGTTCCGGCGTTGACCATGTCGAAGCGCTCCGCGGCCGAAACGACGTCACTGTAGCTCGCGTAGTTTGACGCTGCGACTTGTCGTTTGACTTCGGTCTTCAGCCCTGCGAGGTACGATTGCACTTTTTCCCCTTCGGTCAGGTCGGGAATGCGGTTATAAAATTCCTCCATCTGCTGCGTGTACTGTGCTACACTCCCGAACTGTCGATGACGATGAATTTTTTCGCGGGCAAGAAAACTCGAATTTATCGGCTCGAATCGTTTCAGCAGGTCGGCGCGGAACTGCTGCCACGTGGCTTCACCGTGGATGAAAGTACTGTTGCCGCCAATCCACTCGAGTGCCGGCCCTCGCATCAGTGTCGCCGCGAGTCGTACACGTTGACCGTCCCAGACTGGCGAGCTCCATCCGACGGCTGCGAAGTAGATCTCCATCCCGGCGATCCATCTGCGGGCGTCGGAGTTTCGATCGCTCGGATCGAACGGCTCAGGTGGGCGCGGTTTCGGAGCCTCGAGAAACTGCTGCGACTGCTGCGTCGTCGCCGTTGTCGTCTCGTGCTGCGCTCCGGCGAGTCGAGTTACTCGCTCGAACTGGTTTCGCCACGCTTCGCGATCTGCTCGCATTTCCTCCTGAAGGGCTGCGATGCGCGCGAAGAGCTGCTGGGTAACCTCGGTGTTGTCGAAGGTTGCCATCCTGTTCAAAACACGCACGGAGGGGGTAATTCGAAAATCGCGGAGCTGGTGCTTACCAGAATCGGCGTCGAATTGGTCGCCCCCGGCGGTTTTTCGAGGCAGGATCCCCGCTGCTGCTGCTTAGCTGAGCGCGGCCGAGTGAGAAAAGCTCTGATTACCAAGTGTCACAGGATCGAATGTGTCGAGGAAAGGTTGCACTATCGATCAGTACAAGGCGCTTTTATACTTCCAGAGTACATCAGGTAACCAAGTTTATCTTATCCTAAGGGAATAGACCCTTCTAGAAGATAGAATCACCCTGCGTATAGCCACGCGAGGCTATTGGCTTTAAGGGATTACAGCAGGATTACGCTAGATAGCGTGTCTAGAACATTCCATGCCTGGTCGGTGATATAATAATAATAAAGGAAGAAAACCAAAGGATAATGGAAAATGGGGAATATGAGGCAAAAGGAGGTGAGATAAAAAGAGGAATGAAATGAAGATGAAATATGGAAAAGGCCAAGTGGTGTAACGGAGTCGTACTCTCACAGTTTCGAGACTCTTCGTGGTTGGGGACTCTGTGTCCAACTTAAAGATTACCGTTTGAGGCATAAATCAGATCGATATCAGTATTTGAATTTGTCTGACGGAAATCCGACCGTGCACTCTCCAGTATATCTCATTTTAGGCACATCTGAGCCTATTGTGATTATAACAGCAGCACCATCACATAACAGATTTATGGCAGGTGTTATAAGTGAGGCCAGCCGGGGCACATCATGCGGGACTGTCAGGAGTTGCAGGAATCGGGAGCTAACGACGGAAGGAAGGTAGGAAATGGACAGCATCAGGTGCAGTCGAGCCCCCTACTGATGAGGCTTCCTCGCCCAAAGATCACCATTCCCAACGAGTCGTACTGCCGATCTATGCAATCGACCACACCCGGTTAAAGGGGAGTGAGCCTGTTGACTACCCTGTGCTGGTGGAAGGGCGCATTGGCAACACAAGATAATAAACATTTGGGTTGATTGCCCTGTGCTGGTGGAAGGGCGCGTTGGCAACACAAGATTATAACCATTTGTGGATGGCGGAGCATCACACAGTCTATTCGATATGACAAGAGCGAAGAAGCTGCAGCTACTTTTGGAGAGGTGCATGCCCGAGATTGACGCGAGGTTGGTCGACGACACGCCACTTGCAATCCGGGAGCGGGTGAAACAAGTTCTCATTGATTGCGACAGCCAAGTCAGTTTCGCTATGAAGTTGCTGGCGACAACCTTGGACGGCTGCGATGTGCTCCTGGGGCGCGATTGGCTTCGCACGTACAATCCAAAAATCAGTTGGAGCAATGGCAACATTCGTTTGAAGTGGGGCAGGGAGTGGCGATGATTGCCGAAGTGGAAACCAACCGACCCTCATTCAACACTAGTGAACAAAATGACTATCAAGCGTGTGATGGCACGTGGCATGGACGTCTACGCAGTCCGACGGATCGCATCAACAGAGGTGGCTGAACAAACCGACCTAGAGAAGCTGCGTGCTGCCGTACCTGAGGAATTGGCGAAGATCATGTAGAAATTCGAGAAAATATTTCTCAACGACCTACCGCCTAACCTACCACCCGAACGACCGTACGATCACAAAATTGAGTTGGAGCCAGGAGCGCAACCGACCGTCCAATCGCGATGGAGGCTGAGTCAATCCGAGCTGATGGAGCTGCGTACGCAACTAGATTATCTACTAGAGAAAAAAATCATCCGCCCATCCACGTCACCCTACGCCGCGCCGATCCTCTTCAACCCCAAAAAGGACGGAGGGCTTCGGCTGTGTATCGAATATCGCACACTCAACAACATCACCATCAAGTCGCGTTACCCGATTCCATGAGCCGACGATCTCATCGACCAACTTCGCGGGGCTAGGAGTTTCTCCATGATTGATCTACGAGGAGGTTACCAACTGAGGCCGCAGCTGCGGTCTCAACAACAACAGCAGGGATGTCAGAGTAATTGCACTGCTAGGGAGCACAGCCCTGAAATATAGGCACCGCCGCAGTACCACTAGACTGAGCGATACTGCGTTGGCGAGTCTCTATCGCAAACAGGGTAGTAACAAAGGCGGTAAAGGTGAGGTCACCCGGGTGCTGACTAAGGAAGTGGTCGTGGGCTGTGGCTAGGCGGTCAGGCAGGCGCGTGGCGATGAGAAAAAGGGTAGCGCAGAACGGTGGCGGAAAGGCAGTGAGCTTTGCCTCAGTGCCTCAGCGCGGTACCTAGTCTCAAGCACACGGAGGTGAGTGGCAAGGTCGGCGACAGTGGGGAAGGACGCAAGATCAGGGTACAACATGGGAAGGATGAGGCAACCAGCAGAGGCTGTTGCGGGGGTGGAATGGCGCGCAATGACGGCATCTAGGAAAGCCTCGGCGTTTGCTACAGTGGTAAAGCGGGGACGCTCAGACAGCGGGAGCGCGTGACAGATAGCAAGCTGTGCGACGGCATCGTGCGAGTCCTAGACGGCACGAGCATGCGCAGCAGCGGTAAAGGCCTCAAGCTCAGCAGTGGTAGGGGCATCAGGGAGGGAAGCACGCGCAGGGGGGCGGGGAAGCAGGCCATTGACATGAACAGCGAGGGAGTGACCGTCCTAGCGCTGATCTGTAAGATGACGACGGAGGTCGACGAGCCACGCGTCGAAGTCTAGCGCCCAACCCTCCGCGTCCAGACAGAGCTGTGACTCTGCCATCGCCACTGCTGCAGCTGCTGTCTGCCGCTGACAGGGTGAGGAGGAAAGGCGAAGAAAAGCATTGGAGAGGTGGAGTGCAGTGAACTGGGGTGGAGAGCGATTCAGTGCGGTGGAATGCAGTGGGGGACAGTGGAATGCGGTGGAGATAGCCGGCAGGGGAGCCGGCGCTGAAGGGAGCCAAGACCGGCTGGTTGGGGGGCGGCAGAGGGACGTGGCGGTGCAGGGACATGGCGGCTCGGCTGATCTTTGGCTCAGCTGCGGGCCGCTAGGACGGTGGCCGGCTAAGCAGGGGCCGGCTGGGTGGGGGCCGGCAGGGTGCACAGGCAAGCGGGGTGCTGACGGGGCTGGCGGGGCGCACGGGGCCAACTGGGCTCTAAGGGGCCAACAGGGCGCGACGGGGCCAGCGGGGCACACGGGAATAGCGGGGCGCTAAGGTGCCAGCGGGGCGTACGGGGCCAGCCGGGCGCAACGGGGCCAGCGGGGCGCTAACAGGGCCGACGGGGTGCTAACGGGCCAGCGGGGCGCTAACGGGCCAGCGGGGCGAACGGGGCCAGTGGGGAGCACGGGGTCGACGGGGCGTTAAGGGGCCAGGAGGGCGCGACGGGGACAGTAGGGCATAAAAGGGACAGCGGGGCGCACGGGGCTAGCTGGGGGCTAGGGGGCCAGGGGGGCGCAATAGGGCCAGCGGGGCGCACGGGGCTAGCGGGGCTCTAAGGGGCCAGCGGGGCGTACGGGGCCAGCCAGGCGGGATGGGGCCAGCGGGTCGCTAACTGGGCCGACGGGGCGCTAACGGGCCAGAGGGGCGAACGGGACTAGTGGGGCACACGTGGCTGATGGGGCGCTAAGGGGCCAGGAGGGCACGACGGGGCCAGTAGTGCGTACGGGGCCAGCAGGGCGCACGGGGCTAGCTGGGCGGCTAGGAACGGGCGGCTACGGCTAGGACTAGAGCGGAATCGTGGGTGGGCGAGGAGGACCTAACCTAGCCCGTGATACCATCTCAGAGTAGAATTTACTAGAATGTGAGGGTACAAGAGAATATATCTCAATGGGTTGTACCCTACATAAGCATGCACCTAACTAGCCTATAACATACACAAATAACATGTTGAGAAGGACATGGTGATGCGTGGGAGGAGTATGAAACGGAACGGCACTGCCAAGCGAGGGACGGCTGGTGAAGCTGGGCCACGGCTGCGCCGTAGGGAAGAGGTGCGCAGCTGAAGAGAGGAGAGGAAGCTGATTCGTCTAGGCTGGAGATTAATTCCAAGAAGAGAAGATAGACGATCAAGAAGATAGAAACGATATAGATGATAGATATGATGACATATACAAGGTAAGGAGAGAGATATTTATACTAGGAAGGAAAGGATAGCGACTCAGGAGAATAGTCGTGTGTCCATCAAGCATAGCATCTTGGCATAGCGTCTCGATGCTATGCTCTGCCGGACACCTCCTTCCAGCAGAGATAGGTGAGAGGACTCTAGGCTAGCAAGTGTGTACTTCGGATCTAGCTAGGCTTCGCTATCGGAGAATCCCATGCATACTTAGCCATCCCTTTCCAGAATTCCCATGCATGTCTAGAGGCACATGCATGGCAAATCTCGTCATGTTACATTACTCCCTTCCCGAAGAAGCATCGTCCTCGATGCTTAAGGAAAACTAGAGCTAAACCAATCAGGCGAGAGGTTGTCCAAGGCCGAAATCAGGTGAGGGGCCAGGGGAGAATTCAGGGTTGAGGCAGGCATACAGCTGCACCCATACTTCAGGCTGTTGCAGTTCCATGCAGCCTCCAGATAAGGATCAGAGTGATCAAAACAGCTAGAAGCCAAGTCTAGTAGCTTCTAGGCCAGGGAAGAACTCACGGTGGAAGGTAAGGGTCGAAGCAGAGTACATCTTCGTCGTCTTCTTCTCGCATGATGCGACAAACATTGGAGCATTCAGAGTGGAGGTCGGCATACAGCTGCAGCCCATACTGCAGGCTTTTGCGGTCCCTTGCAACCTCTATTAATGGGTATAGGACTCGAAGTCATCTAGAAAATCCCTGTGTTCCATTTTTGTTCCAAAAAGGTGCTCGCCTGCGAAGTGTTCAAAAAGTGTGCGAGTTTGCTTTTTGAGCCAAAGTTGAACATGACTTGCGAACACAAGTTGAACAATATATTAACACTTTGCAAACATGCTTTTGAACAAGAGGCAAAACCGTCACCACACCCATTCACGACCGTGGTCTTGTTCCAAGTCATGGCTGCAGCCATCTTCACAAATTGCGTGACCTCATTGATGCAGACATTATCAATTGTGGAGATCATGTATGTCATTAAACTATGCTTCGATAAAGACAGCCTTTATGCCCTACTCATTTCACAGCATGACCCAAACATGTGTCTTTAGGCAGCGTCTTGAGCGCGGATTGTGTTGCAGTGATAAAAAATATGTACTTATTAACGAGGAGGTGCTTCGCATTGCAAAAGCACGACACAATATGCGCAAGAGAGGTCACGCTGATGGCGCGGACTACGACACAGTGGTCCACGCCCACGGTATGGGTGAGCCGCTTGCACTTGGTCATAGGGCAGAGGCGGGGGAGTTCTGTGTAGTACTCCACGAAAGCAGCTTCTTGTGTTGCGCCAAAAGGGTCCTCGTACGAAAACAGCATCAGACAATGGC